TGATCTGCCTGGCTTTTGAATCTACTGTAACAAAAACAAAATTATTAATACATGAGTCCTTCCAACCTTTCCCTTCCGCCTGGCCTCTAAAAGGATCCTGACTGTGCAGGTTTCATTTCTTCTCCCCCTTCACCCTCCAGAGAAGCCTCTTCCTGCTTACCAGACTTATCTTTGGGGACTTTATTGTCAACGTAAGAAAACATCCAAACCTGTAGATAATTTTTATGAGTTTATTTGAGCCAAACTGATGACAAATCCCGGGAAGCAACATCTCAACTGATTGAGAAAATGCTCCAGTGAATGGTAGTTTTGCACCTTATTTTGTACATTAGAATTAAAGGAGGAGGTGTAAGGAGGTTACATGAAATCCATTGGTGATAGATTAGGAAGGTGGGAGAAGGCAAAGCTAGGAAATCTCTGGGATTGGATAAAAAGTAAAATGAATAGGCACATACTTCTTTTACATAGGTGGGGATAGGATAGTTAACAGTTAACAACACAATAATGATAACAATGAGGGGTTCTGTGGTCTTCTGCTCTGGTGGAAAATTATGCCCTGAAATTACCCTAACATTCCAAAGGTGGGCTATTTTGGATGCAAAAAGACAATGGACAGGCTCAGTTAAGGTAAATATTGACCTTTGTCAAGGAAGATAGTGGCCTACCTAGGACATGACTACCTGCCAGGACTCACTTTAGTGAGGAAGTTTTAATTTCAGACCATCCTATGTGGTCACCTTAGGACTCTGAGTTTGTAAGGCCTGCCATATGGGCTTCCCTGAGCTAGTCAGGTTTAGTATGTGACCTCTTTTTCATCCACATTATGATGTAGAATAAGGAGAAAGTGGAAAGGAGATAGGAGCAGGAGATGTGGGGGCTAAAATTGGGGGCAGCCTTTTCAGAATGGGTAGGAGGACTGGAGGAGCAGTTTGTGATGAGAGGGAAATGGGAAAGAGATGGGGGTCTTAAGAAGTACTGCCATGGTCTACGTGTTCATTCAAAATGACACGCTAAGCCTCTTGATGTGTCTGAACTCTTGAAGCAGCTAATTTCCATGTCATGCCATTGAGCATTCTGGGTTTTGTTTTTGGGTTTTTTTGCACATCTTTCCATTCACCACCTCTGCTTGTCTGTTAAACATTTAAATGATGCTTAAGCTCAGGCTGTGTGGCTCAATTGGTTGAGCAATGGACCATGCACCAAGAGGTCACCAGTTTGATTCCTGGTCAAGGGTATATGCCCAGGTTGCGGGCTCGATCCCCAGTAGGGGGTGTGCAGGAAGCCCAGCAGATTTCTCTTTCTCTCTTTCCCTCTTCCTTCCTCTCTCTCTAAAAACCAGTAAAAACACATTTTAAATCTGCCTAAACTTTATCTCTTCTTCAAAGCCTTCCTTGATTGTCCTAGGTGGACTTGATCACTTTCTCCTTCATACTACCTTGAACTTACCAGTATCAAAGCAATTATGACAATGCACGGCAATTATTTTATTTATTCAACTATCTCTGCTCCTAGACAATGAAATAAATCTTTGAAACCGTTGTACCTTATTGTTGAATTTCTAGTACCCAGCATGGTATCTAGTTTCTAGTAACTGCTTAATAAATAAGCATTTATTAATTACTTTAATGAATGAGCAATAAAATTATGAGGCTGTCAGAAATCCAAATAAAAGTTGGAAATATAGGCTTCACAAAATTAAATGATTTGCCCAAAGTTACACAGCTACTAAGTGATGGAGCAGGAGTTAAACCTGGTCTGTTACTACAAAGCCCATACCTTTTTTTGCAACAATCATACCACCTCCTAGCTGGTCAAAGCTCTTCTTGTACTTTGGAAGTTTCTTTGCTGATAGTGATAATGTCCTCTCTCTTTTTGATGACACTAGAGGCCCAGTGCACGAAATTCATGCGCGGGTACAGTCCCTAGGCCTGGCCTGTGATCAGGGCCATCTTCCCCGACTGCCGACAGCCAGCCCCGCCCCCTGCCGCCACCCAACCCTGGTTCCCCATTCGCCATCAGGGGATCAGAGCCTGCCGGCCAGGGGGAGGGACTGAGAGGTGGTCAGTGCACCTCATGGTTACTGGTTGAGCAGTCACTCTGGTTGTTCCGCTGTTTGATCGATTTGCATATTTTTGTTTCCTGGTCATCATCATAATAACTAGCATTTTTAAAACCCTTTTTAAAAGTGTTCACCCCAGTACCTCCAAACCTTCCTATGCTGACCCCAACTCTCCTTCTGCACCAGCCCTCCACCCCTACACAGATTTCACCCTCTCCCTTCCCTACCCCCCAGTCTGCTACCCCATACTTGTTCCTGCCCTGCCGGGCCCCACCTCCATTCTGTGTACCAGTGATGGAATAGATCTTGTCTGGTGACTGGAGGAAATAAACCAGGCCTAATAAAAATCTCATTAATTAGGTCAAAACTGACCCAGAGATCAGAGAAAGGGGCAAAGGAGGGTTGCTGAAAGTGATAAGGGAGGCAGCAGGGTAAACTTTTTTTTGAGGGGGGGCAGTTTCCTCCTGATGAGGGGCTTCAAAGGACAGCAGCCTCCTTCTGCTACCCTCTGTCTCCAGAGACACAATTTCTGATTGGCATCTGGCAGGACAGAGCAATTGCAGGTACAGGACTGGGAGCATCTTTCTTCATGCAGCTCCTTGGAGAATCTCTCCCAGCCAAGGAAAGCTTTGTTCTAACCATTTCTCCTGGAGCCAGGGCTGCTGGGTGGTCTGGGGCAGGAGGGAAGAATGGAGGTGGGGCAGTGCAGGCCAGGGCAGGAAGAAGTTTGGGGTAGCAGACTGCGGGGTGCGGAAGAGAGAGGGTGAAATCTGTGTGGGGATGGAGGGCTGGTGCAGAAGGAGAGTTGGGGTCAGCATAGGAAGGTTTGGAGGTACTGGGGGAGTAAGAGGGATCAGCAGATGCCAGAACAGGGGAAAGGGTCTACGGAATCAGGTGGGGGTCCGCGAGGGTGAGTACAGACTAAGTCCCTTCCCCAGACCCTGCCATCCCAATTCCTAACCCAGTCCAATAGTGGGAGGGGTCCACAGCGAGGTGCCAAGCCCCCTGCACTTTGTATCTGAGGCTCCAGAACGTGTGGCCCCGCCCCTGCCACCCCGCCCCTGCCACCCCGCCGAAGTGCTGCCTTTTGGAACACATTTGCAGACACATGGATTGTTTTTAAGTTAATGCTTTTTAATTCACTCTGTTTCCCACTTGTCATTTTTTATTGAAAAGGTGGATTTGCCCTCACCGGTTTGGCTCAGTGGATAGAGCGTCAGCCTGTGGACTCAAGGGTCCCGGGGTTCGATTCCGGTCAAGGGCATGTACCTTGGTTGCGGGCACATACCCAGTAGGGAGTGTGCAGGAGGCAGCTGATCGATGTTTCTCTCTCATCGATGTTTCTAACTCTCTATGTCTCTCCCTTCCTCTCTGTAAGAAGTCAATAAAATATATTAAAAAAAAAAAAAAAAAAAGGTGGATTCTGCTGGTGTGTGTTCTTCAGCAGGGGTGTTCTCCACAGGCAGAGATCCGATGAGAGACAGAGACAAAAGGCCCAGCGAGACATGGGCAATGAGTAACAGGATGAGGGAGCAAGGAACAGGGAGAGAGATGCACAGGGCAAGACAGACACATGACACAGGGTGCTGTGGACAGGGATAGAGCTTCCTGGCCTAGTGAGAAGGCTCACCCCGGGCGCAGCTCCCAGGCCCAGAGTCGGCGAACTGAAAGTCCTGGATAATTAGAGCTAATTACATGTGTGCAAACAACAGCAGCAGCAGTGGAGGCCCCAGGCTGGCCACCCCTCCCCCAGCCTTCCTACTGCGATCCCGCCCCAGCAAAGGGGCTTTGCTGGCACAGCTGGGGCTGAGCCCCTGGGGGAAGGGCGCGCAGGCGGAGAGCCCCTGGGGCCCAGGGGTTGTGGTGAGCCCTGTGACTCCAGGGCGCCACCCATGATTACACACTCCAGCGCTCACTGCAGCCCCGGGATGGCAGCTCGCGACCGGGTTAGGAATTGGACCAGAACTTGGTCTGAGCTCTCCTTGGCCTTGTGCTGAACAGGCCTTGGCGGCATGGGCCCCAGCTTTTGGGTCTTTAGGTTTCTATTATCTTGGCCTCCTGAGCATTCCTGTGTCTGCGGAGATTCAAGACGGGGCTCTCCTTGTATCCTGCCACGGGGAGTGCCTGTCTGGAGCTGAGGCTGTGGGATGAGAAGGGACAGAATCTGGTGCTTGGCTGGTGATCAGTTTGTCTCTGCCTGGATGGCCACAGGACCCCAGGAGAGAGACTTCTCTGAGCTTTCATTTGTGCGTCCACACCGTGCGTGCCTCCTCTGAGACTCGGAGTCCAAGGGGGAGAAAGGTGCGAATTCCTCACCTGTGAATGAGGCTTTACACTTTGAACTGCTAGCCTGAATCACTGATCTAATTTTGTGGTTTCAGGAGCCTTTGGCGGGTTGGGTTGGAGTGGTGGTGGGGTAGGGTTTTATATTTCTACCAGAGGCCTGATGCATGAAAATTTGTGCAAGAGTAGACCTTTCTTCCCCCAGCTGCTGGCACTGGCTTCCCTCTGGCACCCAGGACCCCAGCCAGCTTCCCTCAGGCCCTGGCTTTGTCAGGAAGGATGTCCGGAATGATGTCCGGAAGACATCCGGTCTAATTAGCATATTACCCTTTTATTATTATAGATAGAGGCCCAGTGCACAGGTGGGGACCAGCTAACCTGCCCTGATGGGGCAGGGGTCCCCGCTGGGGGCCGGGCTGGCCGGGGCGAGGGGCCATGGTCATTCTGGTTGTTGTTGTTCTGATCGTTCCGCTGTTTCGGTAGTTGGGCTTTTATTATATAGGATTTTTAGGACATTTTCTTGGACATGCCTCAGGGGATGTAAGAAGCATTTGAACAGCTCTGTTTTTATTGCGTTTTTTATGCTCCTATTTGAAGTTTTCCCAGAAAATTCAAGCTTTTAAAGCCTTTCTCCTCCATTTTATTTGACAAATCCTAGGTGGTGATATTGTTGGAAAGAAGGTCAGACTTGGAATCCCTCAGAGCTACCTGTTGTCATGCATGGAAGGCCAGTCATCAATGCCAAGGGCACCCTAAAGCAAAGGTAGGTGGAAGAGTTTATTTTGAAGAAAATTAAGGGACATTGTAGAGCCATATTTGAGAGGAAGTGTTTTGTGTTCAATAAACCATTACTATTACTCAGCAAGGACTCCCTTTCTCAGAAGTCAAATGGAGCAGCCACTAATGCCCAGTGGATATTCTTTTGTTGGATTAATTTCTGATTCTGTATCTACTCATCTTCTGTAATTGCTGCCTCTAGCAAAGTGGCATGTGACATCTGGACATATTATTTCAGGAAAGAAAAAGGAAACATTTGGCAGTCTACACTCTTTTTAAAAGAAGGTGGTTCTCCCTTGTTGAAGGGCAGGGGGTATGTGAATAAATCAATGGTTAGTTTTCCATTGGGGTGATTTTGTGTGTGTGTGTTTTTCTCTCCCAGAATATCTCTTTTATTTCATCTGACAAAAATGTGGGATAATATGTGGTCATTTTTAGTCATTTAAAAAAATTTATATCATTTCACTAAGTAGTTCAGGGTACCTGTATTCTCTATAAGCAGCATACAAGAAGAGTGTGGCACCTGGCCAGCGTGGGTCAGTGGTTGAGCTTCAACCTATGAACCAGGTCACAGTTCATTTCCCGGTCAGGGCAGGCAGGAGGCAGCCAATCAATGATTCTCTCTCATCATTATTGTTTCTATCTCTCTCTCCCACTCCCTCTCTGAAATCAATAAAAGTATTTTTTTTTAAAAGAAAGGATGTGGCAGTAACCACAGGTCAAAGTCATTACTGAATTTTTAAAATATACATGGACCCTAAAAATAAAAATAAAATATATATGCCCTTACCTCCAAGGAACTTAAGTCTCCGTACAAACTTCCATTGCCAAATAGGCATTAATCTAGTCAACCCAAGAAGACAGGTGAAAGTGTGCACTTTTTAACACTATTTTAAGAACTTTTGGGGCAGAGCAGTCAACAGTGTACTTACAGAGCAGAGAGGCTAGCAGTGGAGAATCTTTTTTTTCTTTTTTTAAAAAAATATATTTTATTAATTTTTTACAGAGAGGAAGGGAGAGGGATAGAGAGTTAGAAACATTGATGAGAGAGAAACATCGATCAGCTGCCTCCTGCACACTCCCTACTGGGGATGTGTCCGCAACCAAAATACATGCCCTTGACCAGAATCGAACCTGGGACCCTTGAGCCCACAGGCCAACGCTCTATCCACTGAGCCAAACCGGTTAGGACAGTGGAGAATCTTAATGATTTGTTCCACCAACATTTGCTAAGCACTTTCTAAGCATTGGGCACTGTACTGTGTTAAGGTAAGGATACAGAGATTATTTAGCCTGGCTTCTTCTCTCAAGGCACTTCTAGGAGAGTGGGCAGTTGTCGCAGTTATGTACTGACTGATGAGGACCACAAGCACTGAGGCCATGGGAACACATGGGCCCCTGTAAGGATGGGGATAAAGGAAGACTGCCCAGAGGTGGCACCTGAGCTGGGTGGACCTTGATAAATAGGAGATAATACAAGAAAATTATTAAACAGCTGCTTCCTCTGTCATTAATAAATGAAGCAGAGAAGACAAGGCTCCTTTGGGAAACTTTAAGAATTTCAGAATGACTAAGTAGAATTTTAAAGGTGTGGTAAGAGTGGGGAACAGACTGCCCAGGACAAAGGTAAGAGCAGGGAAAGAGCAGAGAGGGGGTTTTCTGAACCGCTTTGGCAACTCCCTGTCTAGCCGTAGTTGAGCTGGACATCTCTGGTAGGACACAGCCTTCTTCTAGACATGCCCACTTCTCAGAAACAACCCTCAGAGAGTCGTTGCCCCAGAGTTCACAGAGCCTGCTCCCCTGAGCTCAGGGACTCTGGGAGGCAGGGGAATGAGCCCCCTTCCACCTCCCACTCCTAGAAGCATTTACCCAGGAACCTCGGACCCAACATTGCAGGTTTTTACTCTCCTGGAAGGTCAGCCACCATCAGCAATTCAATGGCAGTGTTGCCCCAGACGGTTGCATTGCGGGATTGTTTACCCACTGGGCAGGGACCAAGTACACAGCGTCTCTCAGCCTGTTGCTTCTGATAATTGCTTAGTAAATCTTTACATGTGTATTGACTTTTCTGAACTATTATTTAATGGTGGTTGATTGATGCTCAATAAATATTTACATTATTTATTGTAAAATAATCATTACAATTGGGTTCTGTGGTGAGGGAAAAACAAAGGAAAAGAGTGGGAGCAAAGAGAAAGAGTGAGGGTGTAGAAAAAATGTAAAGTAGTCATTAACATTAACTTATTGAGTACTTACTAACTCACCAGTCTGGAGCTTAGACTTCTGTATGTATATTATCTCCTTTAATATTACAAAGACTTATGATATAACATTATTATCATCTCTATTTAACAGATGAGGAAACTGAGGGTCAGAGAAGTTGAGTGACTTTCCTAAGGCCAAGGGGGTGGTTTTCTGACTCCAGACCAGGGTTCTATTTGTTATATCTAGCTTCTGATAAGAGAGGAAGAGGCCTTGGGACTTCTCTATAGAAGCTTTAGTAACAGTTCTTACCTGAGAATGAGCAGCAGGAGATTCTGCCTTATGTTTCAATAACTAAAGAATAAAATGTAAATCTTGTTTGTGTGGCTTAAACAAAAACCTATGGACCTGATCACTGTTCAATGACCCATTCAATTTTCTCTGGACATTCTGAATCACCATTGTCATCTCTCCTGCCCTTTATTATTCTGATCTTTGTTTATAACCTTTTACATCCATTTTGATCATCATCCTCCCATGAATGACAAGTGCATGTATACTTTGTGAGCTTAGAAAAAAATCCCAAGATTAGAATCTGGTGTCTAATATATGATATGACAAATTCCCACATTTGATTTATTCTTTCTCATGGTGTTGGCTTGGGACTTCCTATTAGTTATGAGAAAAAATTATTTTTAATAGAATTATTCATGAATGATTAGTGGGTGGCTTTAGAAACATTAATTCATAAGTGTACTTTAGCTATCAGATTGTCCAAAGCCCACTAGAAAGATCCATTTACAGGTTAAATGTTAGTGTGTTTGAAGATCTTTGCTTTTGCTATACCTGACCTGGGTGTGTACTTTTATGATTCATTATATGCATCTAGGAGGCAGATGCTCTGTCTTATTTAGCCTGCGGAGAAAATATTGCTGAGTAAGAAGTAACATATTTTCGAATAGATTAACGAGGATCAAAAGGGTAAATAAAGGTGAAGAAAATATACCCCTGGGTCACAATGTTTATAAATATAAGCTTAGTTTGTTGTTAAATGAAATAAAATTTTAAAAAGTAAAGCTATTTCCTTTCATAATTTCTTGTGTAGTCTAACAATAACAGTTACCTAGCTGAACTGAATTACTGATTGAGAAATATCATTTTAAGCATCAGATTTAGAAGTGCATATTTAAGTTTCTTCATTCAATCATTCATTCATTGAAATATTACTGAGCACCTATCAGGCACCATTCCAGGGAGTGAGGATTGGTAGTGAAGAAAATAAAGGTGTTCTCACATGAAGCTTGCAAATTCTAGTGGGAGGAGACAGAAATGCACCCATGAGTATATGATCTGCCAGGTGGACATTTGAGCAGAGACATACAGGAAGTGAACACATGAGCCACACAAGAGACTAAGAAAAGAACATTCCAGAACATGTGAGCCATGCAGTAAATGAGGAAAGAATATTCCAGGCAGAGAGAAGAGCAAATATGAAAGCCCTGAAGTAAGGCCTGGTATGTTTGAGGGACATTGAGGTGGCAGGGCAAGCCCTTAGAATTTAAATCTCAATTAACTATAAATATATAAACGTTTTCATTTTAAAAATATTTTTAATAAGCTGGCTAAATAGAAACATCTTTTTGTTTCAATCCATATTAAAACTATTTCTAAGTTTCCTGTTTGGGGTAAATACAACATTATCAACTTATTTTAATTTTTTGTTCTTTCGTTCATGTCTACTCTGTGTCAGGCATGTGTGGGCGCTGTTAAGTGCTAGGCAAGCAACAGGGAACATCACAGACCTATTGCAGCCTTGATTCGTCGGTGTACGGTGTTGGAGGACTAGCATTCCTTGAGGTCTTCATGTTCATGTATAATGTGGGTAGACTTAGAAGCCAGGATAGGGACTTCAACTAGGAAAAGGGATGGGGGAGTGCTGAGAGGATCCGCAAGGTCTTGTAGACAGACAAATTCAGACGCTGGGAGGAGAAAAAGGAAGAATCAGGTGAGGAAACCTGGGGTCAAGGAATCAGAGACCCACCAGGCAAACGGTTTAGGCACCATGAGATCGGAATCCTAGCCACGCATCTCAGTCAGCTGGGAGAGGTCTCTGTAAACAGCAGCAGGTACCCACAGCAAGAAAGGAGCTAAAACAGCGTGTCTCTCCCAGTAGGGCTCAAAGTTTAATGTGGAGAGTTTTCAAGCATTTTTGTCAAGGCCAAAGGACAAGATCTCAGTTGTTCTGCTGTGCCCAGGCCACACGTTGAAAAGGTGAAGACAGAGGTTTGATTGCATTGGTCACCACTGTTTGAGTTGACGCATGTTGTTGGGTTGAATTGCCCCGTTCCTGACTGATTACCTGAAGTGGGCCCATGGGCTTTCCAGCACTTGTGTCCTCTGGACCCTGGAGGTCTCCTGGCCAGCCACTGTCAGCTGTTGCTCACGTCTGTGCCCTCTGCCCCAGCCATCTGTCCTCCAGATGCCCCTGAATGACAAGGACTTTACTGTAAAAGTGCCAGAGCCCCAAACAATGGAATTTCAGCAAATCTCTGATATCAATTGGACTTTTTTAAAAACATGACTGCTTCTTCTAGAAAAATCCAGAAAACTTAGTCTTTAATTTTAATTCACATGTGGATAATCAAAATGTTTGTTGTTGTTATTGTCTGTTCTTTGGGTTCTTTTTTCTTCAGTGTCTATTGCCCCATTAAAATTTTACAAATAGGCACACTTACAGTTTCTTCCCCATACATGGATACATACATACATCTTGCATATTTTACATAAATAGTTCATTTGTAACTCTATATAAGATATATCCATAACCATCCTTACTATGAAATGAAAACAGCATTCAAAATATAAGTCAAAGTAAAATGTAAATGCTTGCTGGGCTCTGGGCTTTGTATAACACAAGATAAAAGAAATGTGGTAGCTGACATTCATAAAATTAGTTTACGTGTTCAAGTCCTACTGCATGCTTCTTGGTTGCCTTGGCAACCCAGTATATAGATGAAAACCCTGGAAACAGGTCAGATACTCACATTGAC